CAGAGTTCCGCGAACTACACGCCCCCGGCCCCACGGACAAGTCTGCCTGAGGGTGTTTTGTATGGCTCTTGAGCCAAGAATGGCTTTTCCAGATTAACATTTGCAATCGATTTGAGGTTAGGGCACACTAATTTGGAAACCCAATTACAGCAAAATGTTAATCTTCAAAAGAGAATCCCATTTCTCATTCATAGATCTGTATTACAAAAAAACTTATATTTAAATACTATTTTATTTTGAACTTTGTCAATAAAGAAAAATGTGGAAATTTGTTTTCTGTAATTACCCAGTGAGGCCCAGAAAACCCAAATGTCCACTCTCTGCTCTACACAGTCCCTCCTGGGTAGGAACTGTCCGTCTTGCTCAATGCTATCACCTAGGCACCCAGAACAGGGCCTGGTGTATAGTAGGTGCTCAATAAAATGATCTGAATGGATGATCAAACCGATGGACTTTTCTTTTTTTTTAAATATTTTATTTATTTACTTTTAGAGAGAGGGGAAGGGAAGGAGAAAGAGTGGGAGAGAAACATCAATGTGTGGTTGCCTCTCGTGAGTCCCCTCTAACTCCGATTGTTGACTATGCGGCCGATGGACTTTTCAATGGAAAAAAATAAATCAAGTGAGCAGAATACCTAACATGCTGCCTTTTGTGTAGAAGCAAATAAATAAGATAATACCTACCATGTAGGCCCAGACTGTCTGTTGGAGGAGACTGAAGAAAGTGGTTCCTTCTGAGGAAGTGGCAGACAGAAGTGGGAAGGAGCCCTGACTGTGTGGCTCAGTGGGTTGAGTGCGGGCCTGCCAACCAAAGGATCACAGTTCGATTCCCAGTCAGGGCACATGCCTGGGTTGCAGGCCAGTTCCCAGAGGGGGATGCACGAGAAGCAACCATACATTGATATTTCTCTCCCTCTCTCCTTCCCTTTCCCTCTGAAGATAAATAAACAAAATCTTAAAAAAAAAAAAAAAAGAAGTGGAAAGGAAACTTCCTTTTCTCCAAACCTCTTTTGAAGAGTATGAATTTTTTATTTCAGATACCTGTGTCACCATTTCTGATGAAATTCTTTTTCACAATAAAGCCCGCCGCAACACTGAGGCAGATTTCCATGGCCTCTGAGACTCGGTCTGTGCACCTGGCCAATGGGCTAATAAGTCGGGTGTCTAACTGTCCTGGTTTGCCCAGATCCGAGGGAGTTTGGGGACCACCCTGGGCAACCAGAACAAGGTGGCCACTCTGGCTAAAAGGAAGGGTCCAGGGCCTGCAGGTACATGTGTGTGGGCTGAAGGGGGCGGGCCTACAACCAGCTCTCCGCGCCTGTCGGTGGGGCATCACTCTTAGGGGGCCACCCTGGCACGCCTGGGCTGAGACGGGTCTTCGGGATCCCCCAGAGGTGAGGAGGGCCTTTTCCCCAGTGGGTCTTCCGGCATCTGCCACCAGGCACCCCCCACACTATCTCTCGGACTATCTTGCACACTAACTGGGTCTGGGCAGCCTCGCCCCAGACGGGACTGATAGCTCCCTGCTATCTCTGCCTTCCTGGCAGAGCCTGAACTTGTCTCCAGGAAAAGCCCCCAGGGCCTCCTCTGGCCCACACCCACCTGTGATGCCTCAAAACATCTGAGTCCCACGGAGCGTCGGAGACAAGTCAAGTGTCGGCCGACTGTTTCCTTAGGTCAAAGTTAGCTGTTTCGAGCACAAAATAAAATCCTGGGGTTTGTCGCCCCCACTCTCGTCCTTGCTGCTTAGATCCAGACTCACAGGCCTCTCTGCCTTTGTCCTCGCTGTTCCTTCTGCCCCAAACTCCCTTCCCTTCCCCAGACGTTCCTAGGGCTTGTCTCACCCTAGAGAGGCTACTCTCATCCCCCTTTCCCACCTCGGTCCCATTGGACCCTTTGATCCCCACAGAAAGCCCTGAGTGGCAGGAGAGATTATCAGCCCCACTGTACAGACGAGAAAACTGAGGCCCAGAGGGCTGTGGTACTAGTGTGCCTAAGTCACGGTGAATAAGTGGTGGAGTTCACTGGCCTAGAGGCCCGGCCACTGTGCTAGATCCGACAGCCCCCACTCCCACGGAGCTCACAGGTGAGGGCCCCAGGTGAGTCAGGGAGGTCAGCCCCACACTGACCCCAGGCCAGGCCAAGGATGGCCCGGGGAGAGGAGGAAGCAGTGAGATGGCCTTCGGGGCAGCAGCGACCAGTGACCTCCACGGGGAACAAGCCCAGGGGCAGATGAATGTTCCAGGACACGAGTCCTTCAGGAAGACAGAGGCTCCAGCACCCACACAGCTCCAAGCCCCTTAAGAGTTTCAGGGAAACTCTGCCCCATGTTTTAGGATCAAAAATGTTCAAATGGAGTTAAAAAATGTGTGGTCTCTTTAGTATTTTTATTTAACACGCGAACACATTTAAGACATACATGTCAGATAAAATGCAGATGCCCAATCAAATCAGAATTTCAGATAAACAACAATAAGCTTTCAGTATAACCAGACTGCATGGGACAGACTTATTCTTCCTCAGAATTTCAAGTTTAGCTGGGGCTCCTGTATTTTTATTTCTGAATCCAGCAGCCCCCTCGGGGACTGGTTCCTACCAGCAATTCCAGCACGATCTCCCAACCAGGTTGCTTCTCATCTTTTGCTTTTTAGGAACGACAGCTCCATGAACAACCGCCCCCCCCCCCCCCCCCCCGCCACCACACACACAAAGGACTCTGACCTGGTCTGCAATTGTATCTGGAGGGTGTGTGCCTGAGGTCGCTTAGTCACATCTTCGCCTGGATGTTTGTGGCCCTGCCTCAGACAAGCTGCCTGTCACTCCGAAGAGCAGCAACCCTGGTCTCTCCTGGCTCCCCCTCTCCGGTGCTCTCTCCCCTCCTCTTTTTCTCCCTGTGTCCTCTGACTCAGTCTGACTGTGTCTGTTTCTCCCTCTCAAACTCTCCATTTGACCCAGCAGCTCTGCAAAAATATGCAGATACGTGGGCAAAGATTCACTGGTAAGGATGCTCTAGCACTGTAACGGTCAAACTTGAACAGCGAAGTGCCCACTGATAAATCAAGCACGGCCCGCCCTCACCTGGAGCATCATGCGGACATTAACAGTAACGCCACATTGACTTGAAAGAGGTTGATGGACAAATCGCAGAGTGAAAAACACAGGTTATAGGCAGGAAATCAATCATTTGGTCAGTTTAAGTTTCAACCAAACATGTGGTGACCCAATGTGACAAAGTGGTCACGTGGTTGTCTAGGGATGACCAGCAGGGGTAGTGTTTCTTCTTTATATTTTCCTGCCTTACCTGTTCTTCTCTTTTCAGATTTTATTTCTATTTAGATAGAGGGGAAGGGGGGGAGAGAGAGAGGTGGAGAAACATTGACATTAGCAAGAAACATCGATGGGCTGGTTGCCTCTTGGACACACCCCAACTGGAGACTGAACCCACACCCTAGGCATGTACCCTGACCAGGAATTGAACTCGAGATCTTTTGGGAAAATGCTCCAACTGAGCCACACTGGCCGGGGCTTCTAGATGGTTTTTATACTCAGAAAAGGCATCAATCACTGAAGTCTTGCAACCTTTAGGGCCTGAGCTTGTCCACTTGATTCTAAACAACCAAGCTGCTGCCCTACCCCAGCTACAGCAGATTCATTGCAACACACCTTACATTCCTTCCTGAACTAGCCTAAGGATGCCGTTTACCCCAGGCTCTTTTAGAAGATACAGATTCCCAGGCCCCACCCACAACTACCAACCAGAATTTCCGAGGGGCCTGAGGATGTATTTTGTAACAAGTGCCTCCCAGGTAGTTCCTGTCTTCAGGTAGCGTTTGGGAAACACTCCATCTAACAGCCTTGTTGAGTCATCGAACAGCTGCTAGCTGCTTGGGCCACTGGGTGGTCTCAGGAATGGATGAGAAAAACAGTGGTGACGTCAGTAGCTCACAGTGATTAAGCATGTGTTTTGTGCCAGGCCCTGTTCTAATGCTTTATGCAGATTATTTCACTAGATTCCCACAACCTATGAGGAAGACACTTTTATTAACTCCATTTCACTGATGAGGAAACCGAGGCACAAAGATACAAATAACTTGTCCAAGGGCACACCGCTAGCAGTGTGAATGCTGGGGGTGGGGACTGTGCCGTGTGCCCGAGACCATCAGTTCGGAGGACGGCTCTGCTTTCTAACACCCGCGCAGATTCCTCACCGGCCAGCCACCACTCTCTCATCTGTATAATGGGAGTGATGCATGTGCCCTCCTGCAGGGCTGGGGAAGAGGATGCAAGGAGACAGACTTCTCCTCAGTGCCCGGCTTTGGCCACCTTTCAGGAGTTAAAGGAGGGAGGATTAAATCAAACTTATTTGAGGGCAGGCACTGTGCCAGAATGAGGAGTAAGAAAGATTAGCATTGCCCTGGCTGGTGTGGCTGAGGGTTGAGCATCATGCTGTGAACTGAAAGGTTGCTGGTTGGATTCCCACTCAGGGCATGTTTCTCTTATACACTGATGTTCCTCTCCCTCCCTTCCCATCTCTCTAAAAATAGAATCAGCATCACTGTCATTAATCCTGTATGCGTAATGTCCAGCAAGGCCCCACATGGGACATCCAGCTGACAGTGTGCAAGGCCAGGGCATGATTAGAAGAACGAAGGCAGGGGAGCATCCTGGAATCACGTCTAGGGCCTGGGCAGGTAAGGCGTCCGCCTGGTGGCAGCCATCCTGTCAGGCCACCAGAGTGAGTCGCGCCCTCTCTGCTTCAGGTGTGAGGACTCGCCTGCCTGTGGGGAGGGCAGTGGGGCCAGCCCTGGCCTCGGGAAGACACTGCCCCCTTCAGGCTCTCCTTACCACTGCACTGGGCCCTTAATTCCAAGGCAGGAAGCATGGCAGCAGAAAGTACCATTGAAAAAGGGTCCTGTTTTAGTTCCATTTCAATTCTAGGAATATTTACTGAGTCTACTTGGGACCTAGTGTGAAGTGAAGACAGGCACTGCAGCTTACCAGTTGGTTAAATTATGAAATTTATTTATATTTCACCTTTTAAAAGCCAGAACATAACAAATTTCACTTTCTGGAAAGTCATCTTGTTAGAAATACATGAAGTGCACTTAATATAAGGAACGTGGTTTCCTGGCACCACCGGAGAGACAGTCACACGCTCTTCGGTTCCTGCCAACGAAGGTTCTGCTCAGGTCCCTCTGAACTCAGAGCGAGATGACCTCAATTCAGGGAGGTCTGAGTGAACGCCTCAAAAATGATAGCAAGGAAGGCGACCTTAGCATCGCCCCCCATCCCCAAGAAAGAGCAACCAGAAAAAATTACTTTGTCCCAAAGGGCCCCCAACTCTGCTGGTCACTAGGCACCCGCAGTTCGTACTGGCAGGTGGGGAGAGGCCACGGCTGCAGCGCGCAGGCCCAAACCCCGGGCACTTGCCACCTCGGCCGCTGGCCAGAAGAAACTTCCCTATCAGACTAGAGGGGTCGGACGTGCAAGAGCAAACCTAAATCCCGATGCCCTGGGCGAGCGGAGAGAGGTGCTGCTCCCGTGGGCCCGACGGCCAGCCCAGCCCACTCCTATGGCGAGACAGGACGAACTTCAAGCTTCTCGAGCTGCTGCCAAAGGGAGTTTCCAGGAGACAGTTTCCACTAACAACCGCTCGAGGGAGAGGCCGTGCCTCGGACAGTGTCCTGTCAGAGGAGAAGGCTGCGGCGCTCCATCCCCTGCAGCCTCTCCCGGAGAAGAGGGATGCCGTGTGATCTAAGGTAACGAATACAAGACAGAAGAACAGGTGTCCTCTCGGCCTCCGAACCTCCTCCCCCTTACTCGGGTGAGGACTCCTTTCTGTGCCTCGAGGACAAGGACGCAGGCAGGCTCCCAAACAGGAAAGTAAATGTGACCCAGTCATTTGAAAATACTTCATTAGTTTGAAAATCACGAGGAAAAAGCTACGTTCTTTCTGTCTCTCTTAGCTGACCCTCTTCCCCTCTTACGGAGCAATGGAGTTTAACCTAAGTCTCTAACCTAGACACACTTACTTCTACTCCGAGCACGTGGTTATACCTCATCCTAAAAAGGCACAATGCAGGCATTTAAGACGGAACCAGTCCATTCTAAGGGTGTGCAGGGTGGCAGGAAACTATCACCCATCAGAACTTTCAGCATCAGACCACGCAAACCCAGAACATTCACCCGGCGGGACTTGTGAAAGGTGTGCTGGGAAGAAGCCAGCTTCTGGCAGCTGCTGCCAAGGACCAACGAACAGGAGCTTTCTCGGCGCAGGAGGAGCTCCACCACTGATCGACGCGCTGCTGCCAGAGCCCCACACCCCAGGGCCCAGCAGGCGAGACACTTGTGTCAGTTGTGCTATTCATGACCCGCAAAAGGTCCTGGCTGGCTCGGAGGACCTGAGAGATGAACGCTGGATGAGAGGAACAAGTGTGAAACAGGGACAGGTGGAGAAGCAGGGCTCGCTTCCGGAAGAGGAGGCAGAAGCGCCGGAAGTAGCTGAGGAGCAATAAAAGACACACGACAAACAGGGTGAACAGCAGGGGGAGAGCCCAAAGGAAAGGAGGACTCTGAACTGGAAACCTGCTTCCCTGTTAAAAGTGACCCTGTCCTAATGCCAGGGCGCACTTCCAGGTCTGCTGTATATTTAAAGTTTCACACATAACACACAATGGAAGCTCTGGAACTGAGACGGACAGCAGAAGCTCTGCTCACTGATCGATGATGGAGCGTTGCAACACCTGATTTATCATGTCTTCTTCATCGACGTCGTAATCCTAGGGGCAAAACACAGACAAAGTCTCAGCCCGCTGGCAGCTGCAAAAATTTACTTTGTGCAGGAGCAGGACAGCCGAGCATGGGGCCCCAGAGATGGCTGCCAGGGGCCAGGGGCCAGGGGCCAGCTCTCAGCTGGCCATGCGAGCCGTGGGACTCTGGGCAGACTGCCTGACCCCTCGGGGCCTCTGCTGCCTCATCCTGACCGTGAAAACCAGGATGGCTCCCTCAGACCGGGGCTCAGAGGACCAGCGGGCACCCAGGTGGGCCTGGCGCAGGCCAAGTGCCCCAGTGTGGAGTGCGCTGCAGTGAGACCGGCCTTTCTACTCCGGTGAGGCCGGGTGTTCTATCTGGTCATTATACTTGTCTCCACAGCATTAACGAAGACGATGTTTATTTTCAAGTCTGAATTTCAGACACTGTATCAGACCATGAATAAATGCTGTTTGTGACCACTGAGGGAAGAGCTGTGCCTTCCTCCTCAGTCCTGCAATGTAGACATTCAGACTGAATACTCTAAAGCTCCAATTGACACTTATGTGTATAAATGAGAGGTTATTTCAAGCAGGCAACCAAATTCATCCATCACTAGAATGCCAAGACAACAGTGTGCCCCTCTGAAACTACACAGCTGTGGGAAAAGGACACAAACCCAGTGACTGCGTCTGGCCAGTGGACGTGCTTTGTGTGGCCCGAAGCACTTTAAAAACAAATGTCATACTTCATGTGAAATGCTGCTTTGCAGCTTCTCAGGCCTGAGGTGGGTGGCAGCGAGGGGCAATACGGTGCCTGTATTTCCACCTGACAACGAGCAGCTGCAGCTGACGGCAAACAGCGGGCCACACACGGTCCAGCCTGAAAATCCTACGGGGGAAAACTTGCCCGGTCCCATGGGCATCTAAACCTAAGAACCCCAAACCAGGCCCCGGCCGGGCAGCCCAGCTGGTTAGAACAATGTCACGAATCACCAAGGTTGTGGGTTTGGTCCCAGGTCAGAGCACACATAAGAATCAACCAATAAATGCATCGATATGTGGAACAACAAATCAGTGTTTCTCTCTCCATCCCCCAAAATCAATGAAGGAAAAGTAAGAATTCCAAACCTGGTTCTGTAACAAGTAGAAACTGCATATACCAGAAGGAAGTGGGCAAAGACGGGGAAGAAAGATAACCCAGGGGCAAGCGGTCACTGGTCTCAGTTTGACGGCTGGCCAGCTCATCTCCTTCAGCACCACTCAGGGAGTCTGCAGCCGTTCACCTGGCTCACAGGCCACACAGCTGCCTTTCCAGGAAACCCGTCGCCTCAGTGACAAAGCTCAGCAATGGGGCCCATGGTCCCCAGGTAAGAGGGAGCGGGGGAAGGATCGGAGCCTGGGCTCCACTCACCACAAAAGTGTCGTAAGAAAACTGGTGCCGCCGCTGGATGTGCTCGATGAAGTTGGCGCTGCGGTAGTTGGGGTCCCCCCAGGGCATCGAGGCACATATCGGACACACCTGTCGACAAAGAAGCGTGGTCTGAGGGGTCGGAGGCACCTGGCGGCCACGCTGACACACCCCCTGTGGCTGGGGTCTGGCCCCTCTCTTCTAGGGCAGCTGCCCTGACACACCAGTCCAGGGCCAGGTCACTCCCTCGTGTGCACGCTCACATCCCAGAAAACGCTGTTGGTCTCCACATGTCATCTGACTCGTGAAACACACGAGGGGTAGGTATGGGCTCCAGCCACGATACCGTCCTTTTCTTATCCCCTACTGTGGTCAGAGCAATGTGTCAGCCCAGTGGGGGGACGAGACTACAGCACACGGAATATCCAAGACACAAAGAAAACCAAGAAATGACAGATGAGCAGAGTCCCAAGGAAGTTAAAATACGGCCTTATGTGCTACTTTTTTACACGTAAACACTCAGATGAGGGGGCTCAGGCTGAAAGCCCTCTGACAAGGGGCTGGTCCGGGCTTTGAAGACTGAGAGGTATCAGGAAAGACGACAAAACGTGAAAGGTGTCCCAGAAGCGGGGTGGTAGTAGTGAAGAGAAAGGCCAGGAGGCAGCACTACGTGGAGACAGGCGGACAGTGGGTGTGGCCAGGAGGGGAAATTCATGGAGACAGGTGGAGGGAAGCTGGGGTGGGGAAGCAGCAAGCATTAGTGGCCCGGCTTAGAGATGGAACCTCATCATTTACAAGAAAGATGGTGATGAGGGGGGCAGGCAAGAGAGGAATCTGAAGCGGTGGACGACTCCTTGAGTGGAGGAGTGAGGCAGGCCCTGGAGCTGGAGCACAAGCAGGACCTGGAACAGAAGAGGCGGCGGCTGAAACCAGAGGGAAGTGCTGAACCCGACAGGTATGGTGTTCTGTAGAAGGGGAGGAGACAGGGCAGAGGGCCGAGGGCTGAAGAAAGAGGGGTTTCAACAGACACAGAACAATCACAGGGGTTTTGGGAAGCCAAAGGAGGGGGGAAAAAGAGAGAAATTAGTGTGCAGCACCAGAAACCAGAGTAGTTCAGCAATATCGATCAAAATTATACGTATACTTAGCCTCCGACCAAATCAATCCACAGCTAAAAATTTATTTCACAGACAGACATAAACACAGGCAAAAATACATTAAAATTTATGGCAACCTTTTAAAATTTACAATGAAAAACTTCAAACCTATAGAAAAGTATGTAATAGTCTGACAAACCAGCCCTTATCCCTAAACACCTAGATTTAAGTTTGCCATACTTATTTCAGCAAAAAGGAAGTGCTTTAAAATAAAACACATTTCACCTCTATTTCAGTACAGTCCTAAAAATAAGTATGTCCCTCTACAAACACAACACCATTATTCCATCTATCAATAATAATTCTTTAGTAGCATTTAATATCCCGTCCTCAATCAAATTTCCTGACATAATTTGGGACTAACCTTTACGTTCATCAATAAGGGAGCAACTAAATCACAGGAAAAGTAAGGGAAATTGTGAAGCTCATTAGGAGAGACAGATATACATGCACTGATGTGGAACACGGCCGAAACCATTAGTTACAGCCGGTATATAATGGGCTGCCATCTGCATGAAAAGAGGGACAAATACAGGCATTTCTCCACAAACGCAGACCACTGCGATGCCCATGAGCACCCCAAAGAGGCATTTTCCAACGACGTGAAGGGAGGACTGGGCTGGGGCAGGAAACCAGGTGCCAGTGCTGGCTCGGCACTGCCCAGCTCCACGACATGGGCAATCCGCTCAACTCAGGTGGCACGACGGGTTCTAATTCACGTCTAAAAATGAGTGCAGGAGAGATGGTGGTAGGAAATAGAGCATCTCTATCATTTTACTTAGCATCCGTTTTAGTTTTCACAAAATTACCAAAATAGCTGTGCTTCTCTGACTAACTTCAAAACGGAAGACGGGCAGGTGCGGGGGTGGGGGAGTGTCTCTGCATACTTGCCCTTCCAAATAGTAATTAGTTCTCCCACACCACAACTCAAAGCTCTTGAAGGAGGAGCCGACAACTTGGCTTTGGGACACCTTATCTTGCCTAGTGCAGCCAAAGAATATGCATTGTGTGTCTATTTTGGAATCACAGGGACAGTAAAACAGCAGGTGCGATGACCATCCCAGGTCGGCATCCAGCTGTAGAAACTTCCAAGTTCTCTATGTAATAATGATACATTAGAAAGATGAGCATCGGTATCAAACGATGAGGCTGTTTCTTTTTGAGTAAGAATAACTGACTCTTGTGACTGATCTGAAAGGCTGACAGGCCACCATGGGACGGTGTTTTACTTTTATATTGTGTTTATTTCTATTACACTAAAATGGCAAGTAGTAATGTAATGCATTTATCGTTATGAAACACAGAATCGCAGGAACATAAAAAAGCACTGGGGACAACTGATGGTGTAGAGGGAAGTGAAGAGCTAGGGGAAGGGGCTGGAGAGAGTTTGTACCATTCACTTTTTACACAGTGAACTGACTCCATACAAAGAACAAAATTTTAGAATTGTCAGGAGGTGACAGGAAACAAGGACTCAGGGAGACCAGCTGGGATCACAGAACACAACTTGGGCAGGGGTGGGAGCCAGACTCTGGAGGAAGTAAAGGAGAGGGTGCGGGAGAGGCAGCAGCCACCGGAGGGAAGAGACTGAATGCAGCTGAGAAGAAGTGCTGAGGACACGGTACGAGGGCTGCAAACTAAGTGCTCACGGGAACCAGGCTGGAAAGGCACAAGAGTAAAGCAGAATGGGTATGAGCCCAGCCGGTCCAGAGGGGGCAGCAACTGCCAAAGCCAGCCGACTCTTGCCAGAACTTCTAATTTCTCCAATGCAGAGTATCACGATTGGAAATGTTTTGATTTTTAAAGGTGAGGGAAATTAAAATGTGTACAGGCCAGATGTACCCCACAGGTTGCCACTCCATGACCCCAGAGGTAGATCAGGAAGCTCCCGAGACAGAAACAGGAAGCCGGAAAAAAGGAACACACACCTGATACTTTGACCTCAGTTAAAAGCAGGATCCAGTTACCTGCAGGAAGAGTGGGAACAGCTCATGGCAGGACGGAGGCAGAGAACAGCCACCAGAGACACTGCCTGCCTAGCGGGAACAGGGTCTTCCTGCAAACGCAGTGCACAGCGGGCCAGGCTGGCCCAGGCCGGCCCAGTGCCCCCGTGTGGGAGCTGAGGGAGCAGGTGCAGAGAGGTCACTGGTAGAATCTGATGCAGCGCAACGGCAAGAACCCAGGGGGCTCCGAGGAAAAAGTGGCTGCGCTGACCAGACTTTGGGCTTGACAAGGAATTAGATAAAGTCAAGAGATTTAAGATATTCCTGAGAAGGCGAGCTTGAGCTTAAGATTCCCAACACGGAGATAAAGAATGCCAAAAGGCCTAATCCCTCAGCGAATGCTCACGGATATTCTAGTTCATGTACCACCTTTTCCAGCAATGGAGCTGAAGACTGCCCACAGAACTAGGTACACGGTTCAACAGAAGCAGTTTGAGGTAAATGGGAAAACTGAAACAAACTATAGAGGAAGCTGTATTAAGACCAGTCTGTCAAAATTAAAAAAAAAAAAGAAAAAAGAAAGAAAAAAAAAACCCTAGTCTGTCAATTACAGGAAGAAGGAAAGGTAACCCTGCTGAGACTGACCAAATTCAAGCCCCTCCCACCCCTGCCCTGCAAAAGAAACGAGCTCTGACTGGTGCAGCTCAGTTGGTTGGGTGTCATTGTTAAAAAAACAAACAAACAAACAAACAAACAAACAAACGTCAGTCTGTGATGATTAAATGTCAAAGGACTGATAAGCACTTTCCTAATAATTTCAGCTTAAATTCGCTTTCTCCACAACTATGAAAAAACTATTCTCGAAAGGAAAATGGCAGCAGCTTTCGGAAGGAGAAATGTGGTAGACACCAAGGAATCCAAGGTGACAACACCAGCAACGGGACCAACAGACATCGCATGACCCTAACGAGCCACCCAGAGGACACATCATATGGAGCATCCCTGCACGAGGAAGCAGACAAGCCCCAGGGTTGGGGAATATAAGGGTGATAAATGGTAATGGAAACAAAAATGCAATAAAAATAATTAAATTTAAAAACTAGTACCATACTTTGCAATAGTATGAATTTAAAAAGATCACAATTAGCCCTGGCTGGTGTAGCTCAGTGGATTGAGCACAGGCCTGCGAACCACACGATCGCGGTTCGATTCCCAGTCAGGGCACATGCCTGGGTTGCAGGCCGGTTCCCTGCAGGCCAGTTCCCAGCAGGGGACGCACAAAAGGCAACCATACATTGATGTTTCTCTCCCTCTCTCCTTCCCCCCCTTCCCCTCTAAAGATAAATAAATAATAAAATTAAAAAAAAAAAAAGATCACAATTATTGCCATGGTTTCTTTAAAAAAAAAAAAAAAAGAAAGAAACAGACAAACCCAAATTGAAGGACATTCTACAAAACAATTGGCTAAAATGTCAAGGTCGGGAAAGACAGAGAAAGGCTGAGGACCGCAGAGACATGACAACCGAATCCAACACAGATGGGGTAGGGGCCGGGGAGGCTGGTAGGAAGAACATTACAAATGCTGGGATTGAAACACGAATTCCACAGTAGATGTCAGACTGTCTCAACGCTACATTTCCTGTGTGACAATTAAACACAAAAAAGGTCATTTTTCTAATGCAAATGCTCTTGTTCTGAGGAGGTGGATGCTGAAGTATTTAGGGGCCAAAGGGTGGTGGTATCTATAACTCATTCTCTAACAGCAAAAATTTGTATGTAGAAAGTACAGTTAAGCAAATAAGGTAAAATGTGACTAATCTGCAAATCTAGGGGAAGGATACATAAGAGTACACTGTACTAATCCTGTAATTTTTCTGTAAGTGTGACTTTCTTCCCATAAACATATTTTTGTAAAAGTTCCTCTTACCACAGACTTGGTATCCGTGCTATGGGTCAACTTGCAGTGTTCCACAAGTCCTTCCTGATCAAAGTTCTTCTCGGGACAGTAAGGGCAAGGAAAAGTGTAACGGTTTGGGACATTCCTGGAAGGTGAAAAGGCAGGAAAAAAGAACAACACTTCTGTGAGGACATTCCATGCAACTTCAGCCACTGCACCCTCCAAAAAGGAGCCAAGTTCACTGAACGGCCATGACAAGGGCTGTGATGACTACTTCCGCATCAGGTTGAGTGTTCTGAAAATGACTTACCAGCACAGCTAATACTGATGTGAACATTACAGAGGCCTTCCCCTTCCACCCCCATAAAGACATGCACATCCGCTTTAGGCAGCAGAGCGATCACACCTCCACTTTCTGAAACTCATACAACTCAGCCCTGAACATGCAAAGCGTTCTTTGTCTTTGTACCAAAAGAGGACCTCGACCTAAAGGAGCGATTGGGTCATTTACCTTGGCTGAAGGGATGCATCCTTGGTGGTGGCCTTCACACCTTCCATGATGTAATTCTGGTATTTGGAACAGGTAGCCACGTGGGCCCGGATCTTGGAGAGGAAGAACTTGGAGAGGAAGAATCAGAGGCCACAAGTTAGTCAGGACCTTGTACCAGGCTCAACATAATCCCAAAGCAAGGACAAGATGAAAACTAGACCTATACTGCCCTGGCAAACAATCTCACCAGTCCCCTGGCTGTGCTACATCTGACTGTTCGTTGCAGGGTTTCTGTTAAGATCAAGGCTGATGTGCCCTGACCTGTGTAGCTCAGTTGCTTGGATACTGTCCAGCAAAGCAAAAGGTCACCGGTTCAATTCCCAGTCAGGACACACGCCTGGGTTGCGGGGCTAGGTCCCTGGTCAGGGAGTGCATGTGAGAGGCAACTAATTGACTTTCTCACACTTCAGTGTTTCTCTCCCTCTCTTTCTCCCTCCCTTCCCCCCCTCTAAGAATAAATAAAATCTTTAAAAAAGAAAAAAAAAAGACCAATATTTTACTTGACCAAATCAGGACATCTGCTTCCACTCTATACTAACTCTCCTAGAGGCCTGCATTACTCACAATATGCTCTCTGCTCACAGACGCATTCCAGAGCCAGGGAAGTCTTTAAAGTTTTCCACATTAGCATTTAAATTCATCTCCTCATAGCAAGCCAAGAACTACATTCCATCATGGTAGCAGGGAAACGTGACCATGCACACAAAAGGGGTAAAGGCGAGTCAGTCATCCCAGGTGCAGTGCAAGTCATCAGGCTGTGACAAGTGATCTTTAAAAAAACCCTAAATCTGAATTCTATTTCTTCTATAAAATCTAGTCTTTGCAATATAGAAAGAGAAAAGAAAACCTACAGAGCGCTTCACCACAGGTGTTCTAGAAAGGAAGACGACGTGTAAGGAAGGGAGAGAGAGGGGAGATGCAGGGAATAAAAAACATTTTTCAAGATATACCACAATACATCACTAACCTTGAAAATGGAGAAAATCAAAAGCATATAGGAAAAAAACCAAACTTCAATATTTGAGCGCTGGCTTACCAGGATGCTTCTGTCTTACCTCCAGCTAAAGTATCTGACTTCAAGTTGCCAACCAGAGCTCCCGATTAACAGGGACGGGAAACAGCCCCATTCGGAACTGTGCCCACTGTGTACCCTCATGCTAAATCACTCCCAGGGGAAGGAGACTTGGAGGTGCACCCCCTCTCTGGCTCTCTGCCCTGAGGTGCTGGAGTGATGGAATTGACGTGCTAGGCTGTCCACCTGGCCCTTAATGAAAAAAGTTTCAATGTGGAAAAAAAGTTGTAGAAGTATATATTATGACTATTTTGTAAAAACCCTACCTCTGTTTGTCAAAGGGCAGAAGATACTTTGCAGCCTTCTAAATTGAACTACTTTAAAGAGGCAATCTCTGGGGTGGGAAACAAACCTACATTGTTTTATACTTTGTATTGTGTGGAGATAACAAAATCATAATGATTTAAAAACCAATAAGCCTATGTATATCTCTTGGAAAACAGGAAAATAGTTCTCTTTTTGCAGTTATAATAGATGTTAAAATAAACATACTTGGCTCTAACATATTACACAAAAGAACATGCATGCATTTCAAATGTTAGATCTTGCTATTATAATCAAATATTTCATATTGACCTTTGTATCATGATTCTTCTCTGTCAAGTGCTAAAAAGTTGATTAAATTTTATATCTATAATGACCCAGAGTTTTAAATCTCCTCAAACTAACTGCAGCAGATAATTTTTTAATCATTGATTTAGTTTTATATTAAAACATTAAGAAGTATTATTCTGTCACTATATTCCAATTAAAATTCTGCATAATGCTTTGGGAAAATGGGTCTTTTATAGGAAAAAACTGAGATAACTGATTTTTATGATCTTCAAAGCTAAAATATATAATACACTAAGTCAACTTAAAAAAAAAACCCAGAAAACCCAAAACCCAGCAAGGTCACGAAATGACACAGCGCAGCCACTGCCACAGAACTGGCATGCACTCGTGCTACTAGGCGTCTGGTCGCGCTCCGACTTCAGACACTACGCGGCGACTGCTCTGCACTTTACCCCGTCTCGTCACAGACAGACTGACTCTCCCGTTTTCCTTCCACATACATTTTTACGGCAGCCATGGCAAGAAGTCTCTGTGCTCTCAATCTGCCGCTCGAGCTCCGCGGCTCGCTCGCCAGGTGCCAGCGGGCTGCGGCACACCCCACAGACAGGCTTCTTCGGCTTCAGACATTCCTGCAGGCATGCAGAGCAAAAGCTAGAACAAGACACACAGAGAACCCGAGTCATGCATTGTGCAGACAGGACAACAAAAATGGATACACTTTAAAAAGACATCAATGAATAATGGGTTAAAGACAGCTTACTCCCTAAACTTCATTCAAATACTGAGTCCTCCTATGCCAGAAAAATGAGGGTGGGGGAACGGGTCCTGCAAAGAACAGACAGGTCCAACGAGAGAAACAAAGGCAGACTGCTGGGATCCACCGAAAAGGAGGTGTGGGGCAGTCTCCGGACCTTAGCCCCCAGCACCGAGGGGTCTCTTGCATCTCACTTTTTCCTCTGTGAAATGGAGAGAGTAGCGCTCACCCCTAGAAGTGTTGGGAGACCCCTGGCACAGTGTCTAGCACACTGGAAATGCACCACAAGCAGGAGCTGTTACCATTAGAAGCGAATGCGAAGCACGATGAAAACACAAATAAATATGAGAGCAACTAGTTGGGACCTAGGGACAGGTCTGGGAAGACTTCAGAGGCAGCATCTGTGAAAGAACCTTAAAAGACAGAGTTCAGCTGACAAAGAGCAATAGAAGAATATTCCTGACCTTTAGATTTAAAAACTCATGACGCATCTGAGGAGATAAAAGCCTACCACTTTTCGTAATAAGTAGGGACTCAGGTGTTTAAAGCAAGGTATCAACAAGACCAAATCCCAGTTTTAGAAAAATAACTCTGGGATTATCACAGACAACCGAGTTGCTAGTTTAAAAATTGTTTTTAGGTGAGGAAAGACGAGAGGAAACTTGAAGCAGAAACCAAACAGATGGCTAACAGCAAAGGGCTGTGAGGGCCTGACTGAGGCAACAGAGGATGAGCTCAGGGAATGATGAGGCAGCACTGGTAACTCACAGAGTCTGGAGAAGAAAGAAGGAAAACCACAGATGGCCAGGTTTCTATCCTAGGCCCAGGCAGGTGGTGATGCGGGGATAAGTACACAGAGAGAATGGATAACAAGGCATGAAAATACCCAGCTACCTATCCAACCTGAGAGACTTAAGGCAGGATCTATAATCAAAGGTAATGTGCACATTGGATAATTTTTTTACTGTCTCTAAGAATCTTCTTCCTCTTGGTCATTAAGCTAGACGTTATTCTCCTAGGCAAATTCTAGACCAGGCAGGGAGAAGGGAAGGGGGCTCTAATGACTCTCTACTGAGGGCACAATGTTGAACTGAACTAAGTCCCTGTCCTCGTAAGGCTTCTGTTCCAGGGTGGAGAAAATCACAGATGTCAGTTTCAGTTAGTGATTAAATACACGAAGGAAAATGAAGCAATGAGATCAGCTGGGGTGGATCACAGAAAGCTTCTTTAAGGAGGTAGCATTTGAGCTGAGACCTAAAATTATAAGGAGAGCGCAACACAGACCTACCTGGATGCAAAGCGTTCCACACAAAGATGACACCAAGTGCAGAGGGGTGTCCAAAAGGCAGAAAGGAAGGCTTGAGGCCATGAATCATGCCCAACAAAATAGCCTGCTTTCAGTTTCCGTTTCCTATGCACAGGCCTTTTTCTAGTTCAGCCCTCTAGATGCTCCACCCTGTTTTTTCTTACAGTGCTATACAGAAAGTCCCTTCTCCTGGGCACCCAGCCACCTGCCCTTCTCCAGCTGTATTTCACTAGACTGGAAAATGATATAGTCATTTAAAGCTTGAAATAAAGTTTTATAAAAATCTAATGCTCCGTCCAGCCAGAACTGCAGTGATGCTCAAGTTTCCAAGTACAAAAGTTAGCAAAAACCAACTAGGCAGAGCAGAAAGCACTGGGCTGGCACTAAAGGGGACTCAAAAGAGGCACACCCATGTGTTTTCAATCAACATGGAACTGATAATCACGTGGAACTAGCAGGGTGAGCACAAAAAAGAGTCAAGGTTTGAGTCCTAGTACTGCCCCTTTGGACTCTGACTTAGGAAAGGTTCATCTGGCTCAAGCAAACCCTAACTTTTGCTGGGTCAAAATTTTTTATTCATCCGTTACCTCTCCCCTCTTACAGGTCTGATTCCTAATACCCTCCCATTGCACAATGAATTTTTACACTAGTCTGAACATTTGCTGAATTGGGAACTCTGAGGGCAGAATCACCTTATTTCTTCCTATGCCTCAAGAATCTGGCACACAGTGGGCACACGAACATTTAATCTGTTGAATGTAAGATTGGAAGGTGGGTGCTCGCTGTGCTGGGCACTGGGGATGCAGATGGGGCAAAACAGATGCGGTTGCTGCTCGTATGGCAACCAACCCATGTTATCTCACACATAGCAGTTTCTCACGCTCTCACTGAAAAGTAAATAAATAAAATCTTTGGAAGACAGGGAGAAAGAGAGCTTCGTCTACTTGAGGATGCAAACAGCAGTAGACATGGCTGGGGAGCCTTTGCCAGGTGCCAATAGTTCTCTAGGCTGGCAAACAGATGCCTGCGTCCTTCTGGGCAGAGCTGGACAGCGGTGAGCCTCAGTACTCGCACCTGCAAAACGGCTGCAGGAACGCTGCAGAACAGTTGCCTGTTGTGCTCACTGCCCGGTAAAGGGTCCTAAGACCAAACGCCAAGGCGATGCCCATGATATGCATTGAGGGTGGCCATGGAGCAGGTGGCCAAGTTCTGTACAGTTTTCTAACTTAGGTGTGTTTGTTTTTGTGTCTGATGAAGCAAGGCTGAGATGCAAATCCCGCCAAACTCAAAACGCCTACCCCAGCCCCGTACTGACATTTTCGCACACACCTCCTTTAGTCGTCTCAATGTCTATTTGCAAAATGCAGGCCATGGAGGCTTAACTCCAACTAGCATGAAACACACCTGCACCCAAGTAAGTAGAAATGACAATTCCTATCTGCCACCTCTCAACCCCCTTCACAATGAAGGGCAGGTTGGTCGGACTTATATTAAGATCTCCCTTTTGTTCTTTTAGTCTAGCTCAGCGTTTCTGCAACCTGAGTGCACATTTGAATTATTGGGCAGAGCTGGCGACATGACGCCAGATGTACTACACTTTAGGGGCGACATACGCTCAAGGGAAACTGTGGCTCTCGAGGGCGGACTTTGGATCCCACCTAACCCCCAGCGGGGTGTGACTCCGCCACTGCCCCCCCCCCCCCCCCCGGGAAGGAGCTGACAGGCCGCCTGAAACACAGTGCGAGCTCACATTAGGGCGGGATAGTCGGGAGTGAGGAGGGCGGGAGACGAGCGCCCTGACAACTTCCACGGGTCTTCAGGAGCCCGGGAGGGCCGTACGCAGAGGCCCTTCCAGGTCGGTCCTCTCGCTCCCGCCTGAGATCCTTCCTGTCTGGGCCTCTCTCCGGGCCTCTCTCCTCGACTCCATTCCCCTCCCAGTCAGGCGCCCCCCGCCCAGGGCCGGGCTCGCCGCTTACACGTGTCCGCAGAGCACCCGCACCGGCTTCTCGTACACCTCTAAGCACACGGGACACGTGAAGCGGCCCAGGGGATCGGCCGCCGCCGCTGGCCCTGCAACCGGCGCAGCACCCTCACGGTCTGGCTGTTGCGCCGCCATCTTGCAGCCACGGGAAGCAACGTAACGGCGACGGCTAAGAAGGAGGAGCCCGAGGGGCGGGGCGCAGGAGGCCAGCCAGCGCTCGCGAGGGCGGGGGAGAGGGCGGGGCTGATGGGCGGGGAGGGTCTCTAGGGGCGTGGATTATGGGCTGTGCAAGGGCTGGGGGCGGGGCTAGTGGATTCGCCACTGCACTTGGCACCTTGAAGCGAGGCCGAGGGGAATCTGGAAAATGTGGAAAACGGATTCAGAGATCGGCAAAATTGGAGCCGGCTTTCTGCTTAAATTTAAATAGTAAATTTAACTCATTACTATTACTTAGTATTTAATTATGCACTCAACATTTCTCTTCAAAACGAGTTGATTTCATTAGCCTTAAAGCAAATAAGAAAGAAAAAAAATTAAAACAGAAGAAAACTGAATAAACTTAAGCAAACGTTTAAAAGGGTGATTTAATATCACTCCTGAGCTATAAGTAGAAAACCAGTATCGCCTATTTCTACAAGGGAGCTGTAAAAATATAATGGAAATAAAACAATATCGCTAGTTTGTGCTGAATACTGTTGACGCGGAAAAGAGATTAGCCATTATTAGACAGGTGATGAAGACAGGCTATCACCACACAGAGACTTGCTAGTGAAAGCAGAAGTAATGGGGAGCATGTCTCCTTCCCTGGATGAACATTATTTAGTGCTGTGTTCACGTGCCTCCAGGCGACGGGGTCCAGCTCCTGCTCTATATAAACGGAAGAGCTGAAGCCTGCATAGATAGACTCAACTCAATCTCAAAGAAAGGAGCAGACCTACATCCCAGATGTTTTGAATCCCAACCTTCTCCACTTTCTACTGCACCCAGTTGACTCTTGCACATAGCCCATTTAACGAAAGAGACATCTTTTTAAAAAGGCAGTCTGTGCTGACAATTCTCCATGGTTTTCTTAATCTGGAAAGCGTATGATCAATTAAACCTTCACCTGAAAAGCCACAGTAGGCCTCACAGGAAGGAGTCTACATGGGAAAAAGAAATCATGTTGGTTAAACCGGGGTAACTGAATGCAAATTTGTGCCTTCTTTGTCCCTTTTACACTCATCTGGATTGATTTTGCTTGATCTGGTGGTAGCAGGAGAATTGTTTTTAGCTGTCCATATGGGCATCTTACAACAAATAAGTTGGCATGGGGGCAACAGCCCAAGGGGGCCAATGTTTATACTCCCTGATCCTGTTTCCTGTTCTTCTGCTAGGCACTCACGTGATCTTCCCCTTTTTTGCAGGGCGGGTGGCAGAGGTGTGCTGTGGGAATTTACAAGCCTTCCTATTGTTCTTGTTCCTGACGCCAGATGCTATGGTGGTGAGGATGGGGGGGGGATGAGCAGGGGACCCCCAGAGCTGAGCTTCAAATCTACTGAGGGCCACATTTGGGCTCTTGAACTTTCCACTAGTTCATACCCTGAGTCGCAGAGACAAGAGGACAGGAGTGACATAACATTACTAGTGAACGTTTTTTTGGCTGCTTATTATTCCAAGCACTTCACTTGAACACATCCTCACAGTAACCTATGCCTTAGGTTCTGTTATTATCTCCATTTTACAGCTATGCAAATTAAGCACTGAGAGATTGAATTGCTTTTTAACACAGATGGAAAATGAGAGTCGGGATTTGACCATCACGTGCCCTCTGGCTTTAGCTTCTATACTCTTCAGGGTGCCCATGCATCAGAGTCAGCTGGAAGGCTTTTTAAAACACCAACTCCTGGAACCGACCTCCAGAGTTTCTGATCCAGTACATCAGTAAGTCTGGGGCGTGGCCTGGGGATTTGTATTTCTGATTGCTGTCCAGGTGGGGTCGTACTTTGAGTGCCACCCGCCTACACTGTCTTTCTTTAATCCCCATCCATGCTGAGACTACATCCCTTCCTGTTTTTCCAAGGCATCCCCAGGGACAATGTCCCCAGTATCCATTTTCTTAGCTTGCAAATATATAGCCAGTCCTTCCTCCTCCCCACAGTCATACTCACTGTTTGTCAGCAACAATCGACCTAATAATGTGTGTCAAATGAATGAAACTTCCTCTTCCCATTTCCCCTTAATGTTTTTGAGGAAAATATTATTTCTTACAAGTCTCTTCTCTCCTTTCATTTTTGGCAGCCTCTCCCAGGTTTGCCCACATGAGCCAGGCTATTCTTGGGGTTCTGTGAGCTTGGAGTGGGGGAATAGGTTCTCTCAAAGCTTTTGCAAACTTGATTTTTACTGCCAAGGTAGACTCATTTATTCAGGCGACGAAGAGTCACTGTAGGCCTACTGTGTGCCAGGCCCTCTACAGAGTGCAGGGAAGATTAGATACAGTGCTAAGGAGAAAGATGTGGTAATAGACGGTAAGATTGGTGGGTGGTGACTGATGCTTTAAAAAGCTTTTTGCCCTGGCTGGTGTGGCTCTGTGGATGGAGCATCAGCCTACCAACCAGATTGCTGGTTCAATTCCCCACCAGGGCACATGCCTGGGTTGTGGGCCAGGTCCCCAGTTGGGAGCATGCAAGAGGCAAGCAGTCAATGTTTCTAGCCCTCTCTTTCTCCTTCCCTCCTCTCTCTCTAAAAATAAATAAATAAATAAATTAAATTAAATAAAAGTTTCTCAACTAAATAATGATCCTCATGAAAGTTGCAGGGAGATTTGCTCTAGTGTGAGTGATTGAGCCTGTCCAGGCCCATACTCCTTACCCACAGAAACTGTGAGGTAATTAGTGTGTGCTGCTTAAGCCACTAAGTTGGTGGTCATTTGTTATGTAGCAACTGATAACTGATTCAAACTCTTTAGTGGGTAATTTCCCTAAGTTAAAAAACAAAACTGGCCAGTAGCTCAGTTGGTTAGAGAACATCCTGATATACCGAGGTTGTGGTTTAATCCTTGGTCAGGGCACAAATAAGAATTAACCAATGAATGTATGAATGAGTGGAACAACAAATCAATGTGTTTTTCTCTCTCTATCTAAAATCAATCAATAGCCTGGCTGGTATAGCTCAGTGGATTGAGCACGGGCCTGTGAAGCAAAGGGTAGACAGTTTGATTCCCAGTCAGGGCATATGCCTGGGTTGCAGGCCAGGTCCCCAGTAGGGGGCGCACAAGAGGCAACCACACATTGATGTTTCTCATCCTCTTTCTCCTTCCCTTCCCCCTCTCTAAAAATAGAATAAGCAAAATCATTAAAACAAAAAAGCAAGTTTCTGAAGATGATTTAAAAATAAAATAAAATCAATCAGTAAGAAAAGAAATGAAAAAAACCCAAATTCAATTCCTCTGTCTCACTAGTCATATTTCTAGTGCTCAACAGCCACATGTATTAGTGACTCCATATCAGGGCACAGTACATATAGAACATGTCTATCAGCACAGAAAGTTCTGTGGACAGTGCTGCTATAGATCTACTCACACGGGTGGGAAGGGTACGGACACACGGATGTCCAGGGCAACAGTGGTCACAGTAGCAAAGTGATTAAATCTATACAGTGGATATAATTACTGGTATGTCAACTCCATGAGGAGAGAAATTTTTTTTCCATTTTGTTTACTGTATCCTTAGCTTTTAAAACAGTGTCTAGTGCGTAGTAGGTGACTCCAAATATATTTGTTAAATGAATGTACAGCTGATATGGAATGATCTTTGACATATATTTTAATTAAAATTATACCCAGATGCTGGGGAATGTAACTGGTATGTGTTTGTGTATGAGGAGCGGATGCCTGGGGTTGAGGGGTTTCCCAGGAGGACAAGTGTTCCGTGGTAAAGCTGGGAAAGTCCCAGGCGCAGGGGCTCAGGACGCTTCTGAAAAGAAGCTGAGAATCCAGTACCAGTGTCTATCATCAGGAAGGGAACCTCAGGGCCTGGGGTCTGGGTTTTGAGTCTGGAGGCAGGCTTACTTTCCTCCTCTTCCCCTTTGAGTTGTCTAAAGTTTTCCCCTATTGTATTTTCTGAACTTTTCCACATCGCTTTTTAAGTTAAAAATGAAAGAATATTGCATTAGGACCTGTGGGAGAAGACTTGAGATGCTGAGATATGACTCCAGCCCTCCAATCATGTAACCCTCAAACCCCATCTCTCAGCCTCAGGTCACGTGTAAAACTTATTACTATACTTATCTAAAGAAAGCAGGATTGACACCATTATATATTACTACACTTATTAATCTATGGGCAAGCAATTTTATTTTGATTTCCAACTGGTAAGAGAGTCAACATGCCAAACTGGTAAGAGCCATGAGGAGTTTCCACTGCCATCAGCAAACGAGTGCCTCAGAGACTCACCTGGTCTAACCAGGGTGAGCACTGCCTCCCTCACTCTCCAGTTCCTTAAGGGTTTACTGTCCTTGACCATTATGGCTTGCAGTTCTTAGCCTAGAAATAAAAATGAAATAAAAAAGGAACATAGCAAAGAGTATGAACATGGGTAACACTGATGTGAAATATTCATTCAATCAACAGCTCCTGTGTGCCTGGCATTCTATCAGGATTGGCAGCAAATGATTTGGACAAACAGGAAAGGCACAGGGGGGTGACCACATAAACACAGCAGTTTACTGGTTACTCCACTAGCTCTCTGCACACAGCATTTTTTTTCTATTTTTTAAAAAATTTTATTTATTTATCTTTAGAGGGGAAGGAAAGGAGAGAGCGAGAGAACCATCAATGTATGGTTGCCTTTCATGCGTCCCCTGCTGGGAATTGGCCTGCAGGGAACTGGCCTGCAACCCAGGAATGTGCCCTGACTGGGAATCGAACCGCGGTTGTCTGGTTCGCAGGCCCACGATCAACCCACTGAGCTACACCAGCCAGGGCTGCACACAGCATTTTTACCATTTATATTATATCAAGAATCAGCCACATAATGAGGTAAAAACAATGATCCAGTATGATCTGACAAGAACTAGAACTGAACAAGGAATATTATCAAGGCCGACTGAAATAAGGATTTCAATCTGCTACCATCAGTGGCAAACTGCATATATTGTGACTTGAGACATTGGCTAATAATA